TATGTATGTATGTATGTATGTATGTGTATGTATGTATGTATGTCAGAGGCAATTGCTCTAAGACTACAAGGGAAGCTCAGCTTCCCCTAAAATGTCAAAAAAATAAGTGATGAAATATATACTGTTGTGTGTACATGTCATTGACTAAATATGTGCTATAATGCGCTCAACTTTTGTTCAGAATCAGCTTCTTATCACTGGTAATGACGTGGCTTTCCTCTCACTCATTCCTGCAGCTTCACAGTGCTTTAAACAGTGTGGACAATGAGCGTCCACAGAGTTCAATAGTGAAGCAAAGAGTGCAGCAAAACGAGACGAGCCATTGGATAATGGGGCTGGAGTCTATGGGGCTGTGGGCTGACCTCGGCTGGCCCAGACGCTCAGCTTCTGCATGATGATTGGATGATCTGTCTTAGGCTGAATCCCTTTTTGATTGACAGCGAAATGAGCGAATCAGTGATCTTTTGGTGTAAACATCTATGGGAGCAGTTCAGTTTAGTTTCGGTTTGGAGTTGAACCGGAGACTTTATTAATCCTTTTAGCAGCATTTTCTTTGCTAAAAATGACTAGTGACAAATCAAGCTTCTATTTCTGGTGGGTTTTTGTAGCTGTTTGTGTTTGGAGACTGATTTCTATCATTCTTTCTGATTTCTATCACTCTTTCTGACTTCTATCGCAGTTTCTGTCCAGCAGGTGCTGCTGAGCCCCTCCACCGTCACAAAGCACTCACAGGCAGACACACTTCACACTAGCCTCGCACCAGTCTCAGCTTGTGAGCTAGATAGGTAGCAAGTCACACATAATGGCAGACAGTTTGAACATTGTGGACCAGATTTTGGAGAAGCCATTTGATAGTTTTCCTTACGAAGAAAAACTTAGAGTTAAACCGCAGGGCTGATCAACTCCTCAGATTAATTTGGTGTAAAAGGTGGGGAAAAGTAACAGGTCTTTTCAGCTGTCCTGGTATGACAAAGTGAGCTGGCTGACTGGAAGTGCTGTAAAATGATCTGTGACAGGGTCACAGAAGTTCCCGCAACTCCATTCATCTCCTTCCTCCTCAGACGACCCTGACCCACAGACCCGACCCAACGAGACATTTATACAGCACAACAGCAAAAATTAATGCTTTGGGTAGCTACTCACAGGGCGCGCCCCTTGCCTGTGTGGATGTTATAAAACTTCACTTTTTAGGGTCCGTATTTGTCACGTGCGTGGGGAGGGGGGTGGGCTGTGGGGATGTGTGTGCGCATGTATGTGGGGGGTGTCTGCCGCAGATAACAGAGCAGGCAGGAGGGTGAGAGGATGGGGAGAAGAGCTTATTTCTAATTTTATCTGACATATTTAATTTTATTTTTATTGTTTTTATCATCCTGCAGGCTCTGAGAGAAAATTAATTTGAAGCTGAGTTTTTTTTATATAAAAATCGTTAGATTACTCTAAAGCAAAATGAGGGAAAATCTGTGTCAATTACAGACATTCTGTTCAAGTGAGCAGCTGTCAGTCAGCACCTGTCAACCTCCAGACGTACTACGGAGCGCGTGTGTGAGCCAATTGCTTTTTTTTACATTGATCAGCTGACTGATTTAAATACACCTTAACTGTTTATGGTTGAGTGTGGGCGTGTAGAGGGCAGAACCTGAGGCGGGACCTTGTGCAAACTCTGAGTTGCGGCCATGATCTAAAAAGGAAAGATGCGCAGAAACATGCGTATGCACGGTTTTATAAATCTGATTTTTTTTTTTTTTTTCCACTTCTGCCTTTTGGCCGTAAGTTCACTTTTAGTATGGTTTCCACGCAATCCTTTATAAATCTGACCCCTGGACTGTAAACTCTGCACCAATTCTGAAGAAGGCACAACAGAGACATTACTTCCTGAGGATTCTCAGGAAGAACAAACTGAGAACTTAGTGTCCTTTTATCATTGTTCGGTGGAGTTGGTGCTGAGCCATGGCATCTCACTGTGGTTCTCCRGCTGCACTGTGGCAGAGAGGAAGCAGCTCCAGGGGGTCATAAATAGGGCTGCACAATATTAGGATAACCTGTGATGTGCGAAAACAGTGCTTAATATTGTGATGATGACATGACTTGCGATAAATGAACAAATACATGTAGTGTTGATATCTTTCTGCTCTGGGTTCAAAGCCAAAAAAAAAAACTATTAAAAAAACTAATCATTTCCATTCCAGCCTGAATTTTTTTAATTAGAAAGGGACTTATCCAATTGATGAAATACTTCAATCTTCCATCTAAATGACAAATCACATAAATTCGAACTTTGAGTCAACCATTTTTTGTAGTTTATGCAGTTGTTGCGATATGCGTGTTGTTCAGGCTATCATCGCGATGACTAAAAATTTTCGATATACAGTGCAGCCCTAGTCATAAACAATGCCCAGAGACTGATAGGCTTCCTCTTCCATGTCTGGAGGAGATCTATTGGACCCATTGTCTCCGGCGAACCTGCAGTATCATCAGGGACCCCTCACACCCTAGTCATCACCTCTTTGAACTTTTACCATCAGGGAGGCGTTTCAGGGCAATAAAGTCAAGAACAAACAGACCAAAAACAGCTTCTACCCTCAAGCTGTTGTTGCCCTGAACAATACAAATACTGCAGACTCATCCAAACCATGATCACTCAGTAAATTTTTCTGCTCAACTCTGTTTGGTGAAATATAAACACACATACACATCAAGTGCAATATTTGTGATATCCTGAACATATCAAAACTGCTGTTATTTATTTTCTATTTTTATTCTTCCATTTAAACTTTACTTCTCTTATTTCTTTGTATATATGTATTGTGGTTACTTAATTCCTGTTTTTGAGAACTCTGTTATTTTTGCACTGCCTTTGAGAGCTGCTCATCTGTAAATTTTATTGTGCTACTTGTACAATGGAATTCTGCTACTTAACTCTGAAAGGAAACTTCTGTCCCTATTGTTCATCACAAATCTGCATGTGATGTCAGTAAATAATGAGTTGCGAGTTTGGTGTTGTTGTTGCTTCAGTATGAACATGATTTGTCATTTAGCACAAACTAACGTTGACTGCACTGCCACTGTTCTGTCGATCTGTGCTACCTCGTCAAACTTAGCTACCGTAGCGCGGTAGCACAGATTGACAGAACACTGGCTTGGGGAATCGCGTTTTCCTCTCCGGACACCAGTCTGTCCCTCTTCCCTGTGGTGACTTGTCAGATTTTGCTACCGTAGCGCAGCTCGATAGCTAGGTCTACTGTCGGTGCTACCCATCGAAAACTGCTACCGTCATGTAGGAGGGATTGATGGCACAGATTGTCAGACCACCAGGGAGGCCCGCGGGTGTCGCAGCCTCAGGCTTCCGTGTTACCAGCACTGTGGCACGGGTGTCTCCAGACTGCTAGTCATGGACTTTGACCGCACCTCGGTTCATCTTTGTCCAGCTCCAGAAATCGGCGAAGGACGCGCATTTTCCTCCCCAGTACCAAACCTGACTTTGGTCACACGATCCAGTCTGTCCCTATCAAGCCCTGGGGTTGGCTGCTCTGTGGGCAGCCTGGCTACTACTATTGTAACATTGTGCATCTGCTTACAGTCATTTATTTTTATGTTTCTGAAGCATTAACATGAACATCATGTTGGGAGAGCAGAGCTAACATAAATAAAAGTTTGGGAGGGGGTTTCCATAGCAACTTGTGCGTAACATCACATTCTGAAGCGAGCTAAATAAAACAAACAAAAGAACAGACAGAACTGAAGAGGTGAAATTTCATTATCTGAGATTCAATTTGTGAATTAAATCAAATGAACATGTTTTGTAGAGCCCACAGATGGATCCTGACTTGTTCTAGGACCCCCATAATAGGTCGCCTTTAAAGAGGTTCAAATCAACTAAGCAGGAAAAAGTAGGATGTGAAAACAGATTTGAAGAAATCTGAACCAAAACACCAAGCATGAACCCACAAAATAAACATATAAACTTTCTATTACCTATAAAAATGTCTTTGTTTTGTAGAAGTTTCAGGTCAATTCTGTACTGGCAGCAGATTGTCCCCGGTATCTGCTGCTGTGCCGTGTTATAGCAGGAATTTAAGATATCGAGCAAGATAAGGCATGTTTTAACAGAATCACTCTGTGTTATTCTGTTATCTGTCTGATCGTGTCACAACATCTGCAACTCTTATGATTTTAAATCATGCATGTAGTTTGATGTTTGTTTTGGAGTGAGCCAGAGTGAATGTTTAGACAAAATGTGTGTACATACATGCACACGCCAACAGTGTCTATCTTCGGGAAAACTATAATGACATTTAAGGGAAGTAAGTGATGGCATTCTTTATTACAAGAACTACCTGCTAAATATGTTTTGAAATATTTCTGAGCACAGCTTTAACATATCTGTTTCAGGATAATTTGAATAATTCATATCTTTTAGGACTAACAAATTATTTCAAATGAAACAAAATTGTTACAGACATGAATAATGGTGGTTGAATTGGGCATTTCAAATGTGGCTTCATTTTATTCCACACATCAAGCTTTATGGTAAAACAAATAATAATCTTATTCGCCATATTTACGTTGTTTGCAATAAATACCGTACAGTCTCACAGACACATATCCTAAATTGAAGATAAATGTCAGCCATTTTATATTAAATGTTTAACCTCAGTACACTTCATATCATAAAATGTGATAAATTTGATCAAAACACTTGTGACACATAATATTGCAAAGCTTTTGAGTTTGTATTGAATATTTTGTGTGTTGTTAAGACAGGAATGAAGAATTTGTTGTATCTCCTATGTTGTCTAATTTACACTAAACTCTACATATTCATTAAATAACCCAACATGAATACACCTGCAAACAAAAATCAGTTTTTTTCATTTTTCACACAATTTAATTTAATTTAAATTCAAAACTGCATTCTATGATTTTGTCATTGACTGCCGCTACTTAAATCTAATCTAACTTTAATAGTTACATTTTTGTCCCTGGAATTCAAGATTTTAAGGTAATTGTGTATGGT